GTGGGTCTTGAACTCTGGGCCTGGGCGCTGTCCCTCAGCTCTTCAGCTCAAGGCTAGTGCTCTACCACTTGAGCCACAGCGCCACTTCCAGTTTTCTGGTGGTTTTTATTGGAGATAGGAGTCTCACGGTCTCTCCTGCCCGGGCTGGCTTTGAACCGAGATCCTCAGATCTCAGCCTCCTGAGTAGGTAGGATTACAAGCGTGAGCCACCAGCGCCCGGCGAGAATGCATTTTATATTGATAAAGCTGCTGAATTTCCTGTGGAAAATGCAACTCCAGTTCACCAACCTCCATCCTTGCTTGGACTAAAGTGTTACCCAGTGCTGTCCTTCACTTTTTTGCATATGGAGCTCTCCCAAAGTAGACCTGATTGATTCTGTGTATGGATATACACACCTATACATCCATATACACATAAACACACATATAGCTATCCATATACACATGAATTTGTGTATATGCATATAGGCCTACATATTCATTTCTATATACATAGATATGTGTATATATATATATATGTATTATATATGTTATATATTATAAATATAATAACTTGGGCTGGGAATGTGACTTAGTGGTAGCGTGCTTGCCTAGCATACCTTAAGCTCTGGGTTTGATTCCTCAGTACCAGATAAACAGAAAAAGCTGGAAGTAGTGCTGTGGCTCAAGGGGTAGAGTGCTAGTCTTGAGCAAAAGAAACTGAAGAGACAGTGCCTAGTCCCTGAGTTCAAGCACTAGGACTGGCAAAAAAAAAAAAAAAAGCGAAAGCGCAGTGCCCAGACCTTGACTTCAAGCTCCACAACTGACAAGAAAACCCCAAAACTTACAAATATAACATATAATAATGTCTTATATATATGTGTGTGTATGTTTTGGATCGTTTGATCAGGAACATTCTTCTAAGATGTTTTGTGACCTTCTTGCCACCACTCATTTTATCTAGTAGATACTCTATGCCATGCCACGTTGTTTAGGTCATTCAGTGGCGTAACTCTGACTTTAGCATACCATTGGTATGTGTACTTTGGAATACCTTGCTTAACTTTGGTATGGACATGTATAACATTTTTGTTTTCTTTTTGTGCCAGTCTTGGGCTTGAACTCAAGGCCTGGGTGCTGTCCCTGAACTATTTTGCTCAAGGCTAGCACACTACCACTTGAGCCACAGCTACACTTATAGCTTTCTGGTCATTGGCGATAAAGAGTCCCATAGACTTTCCTGTCCAAGCTGGTTTTGAACCATGATCCTTTAGATCTCAGCCTCTTGAGTAGCTAGAATTACCAGCACCAGGGACTGGGAAAGTGGCTCAGTCGTAGAGTGCTTGCCTTGCATGCATGACGCCCTGGGTTCGATTCCTCAGCACCACATAAGCAGAAAAAGCTGGAAGTGGTGCTGTGGCCCAAAGTGGTAGAGCACTAGGCTTGAGCTGAAGAGCTGAGGGACAGCGCCCAGGTCCAGAGTTCAGGCCCCATGACCAGCAAAAAAAATAAAAAATAAATAGAATTACCAGCACCAGGGCCTGGTTTATAACAGTTAATTTTAAATTAGCAAGCAATTTTTAAAAAAGGTATGTGACTCTGGTATTCTATTATTTTATTCATTTTTAATTTTAATTGTTTTGAATTATCTTCTAATAGTTGTACAAAGGGATTTCATTCAACATGCCAGTTTGGTACATGGTTCTTAATTGAGCTAATGAACACACTGAAGCATTTTATTAAAGAAAAGCTTATTAGAAGAAATATCAGCAATATTTTTCCTTGAAATGCTCCTTGAAAAAATACAATAGATGCTACTTTCTGTAGCACTGTAATTGTAAGTAGCGCTGACGCTGTGCTATACTTAAGTTACAAAAATATAGGAGGGTTGGATAAACTAGAGGTTCCCAGGCCTGAAAAATAGCTAATTAACTTATAATTAAGGGCCTATTCAGTGATTTGGTTTATTTTTTTCTTTCTTTATTTTTGTCAGTCATGGAGCTTGAACTCAGGGCCTGGGCATTCATTGTCTCTGAGCTCTTCTGCTCAAGACGAGCGCTCTGCCACTTGAGCTACAGTACCATTTCTAATTTGGTGGTTCATTGGAGATCAGTGTCTCATAGACTTTCCTGCCCAGGCTGGCTTTGAACCACGATCCTCAGATCTCAGCCTCCCGAGTAGCTATGATGACAGGCGTGAGCCACCGGTGCCTGACTCCAACAATAATTTTAAACATTTAAAAACGGTTTAAACTGAAACTTGTTGATTTACATCCTCTGTAGGTGCAGATTCGGCCCTGGAATCTGAGTGACAG